GAGGGCAGTTCCTGGGCCGGTGGAGGCGTTACAGTGTGCGCCTGACCCCGGGGGAGTCTCCGCGCTGGGAAGAAGCAGGCTTTTCCCGCTGTGCCGGGCCTGGCCAGCCTGGCGCCGTTCTGCGGCCGGAGGCAGGGTAGGGACGCGCTTCAGCGGGAAGCGCCTGAATGACTCTCACGGGCAGATGAGGAATAATCCGCTGGAAGGCGATGCTTCTTCCTGTGCTCCCTTGGCTAGGAGGTGATTTAGAGCCTGTAACAAGCTTGTTATTAGTCCTGTGAGAAATATGTATTGACTGGAGGTGGGAGTTAAGTTACATCGTTTCTCTTGCTGTCTGGTCAGCTATGCATTCATGCTCTTAATCCTTATTGCAGGTAACTGCTCTTGCAAGATCCCTTGAATCTGCAGGAAGGAGTCTCCGAGACTACTGAGACTGGGCTGTATGAAAACTCCCAGAGGAAATGCCAGTTGGGATGGCTCGAGATCTGGAGGAAACTGGCTCATCCTCAGAAGAGGAGGAAGATGTAGATGGGCTGGAGTAAGTTGGAAAAACCCCTTTAATTGTTTCTATGGCCCTGTGCTTCCTGCAGGATTTGTACTAATCTGAAGAGACAGTTGCATTCCTTACCCTCTTCTTACCTATAAAGGGGAAGGTGGTTGGTTTGGGCTTCAAGCCTGTGGGCAGGCTACCTACATTTGTAGCCTAAAAGACCACTGTATTCATCAGGGTTGGAGGTGCATCTCTTCCTTGGCTACTCTAAAGTCCATGATATCATTGATGTCTTACTGTCATGTTCCTAAGCTGGGAACTTTCTTGATAATGTTTAACAAAATGAAGGCAATGAATGTCCTTCTTGTTTGTTGAGTTTTTTTGGGGTTTTTTTTGTTTTTACTTTGCTGCAAAGAATGGAAATCTAATGTACAGTAGACTGATAGGCAAGGTTTTATGTTCTTTTTCTAAAAACTGCCTTGTGAGAACTCAATTCCTAGAGTTCTTTATTACTTACTAGTGTGCGTTTCTTCCATCTTTGTTTAGTACCTTCTTTTATCTTTGCCTGTGAAGGAGTTGCTCGCTTATTCTTTCCCAGAGTGGAATCCCTTTTCCGTTTCAGCTTTCAGCTGGACATACTTTAATATGTCCTGTTTGTTTTCTTTTGGGCGCATACTGTAACCGAGTGCCCAGTTGCAAACTGCAGTGACTTAAGCCATTTAGAGGAATGTTGCTTCACACCAAGCAGTTGGCTCAGACTTGCCAGATCCTTATGGATGGAAAGGTCCAGAACTGCCTTCACCTTGAATGTAATTGTAACAATGTGTCTGCATCAAGTGAGCAAGGGTCATACTAAGAATGAATGACTGTCACCTCGAGGATTGAGCCTTACTGCAAATCCTCAGGACAGGCTTAACATAAACTCCCCTTCTGTTGCCTCAGCTCATTTCCCACTTATATAAGGCTCTGGCCTGTAGTGTAAATCCTGGAAGCTTCTCTGGTCCCTTCCAACTAATTACACTGCAGTAGCTGATTTTTTTTCTTTTTTTTTTTTCTTTAGAGGTGGTGGAAGCAGGTGAGAGTGCTGTGAAGTTAATTTGTCTGAGTGATAACGGAAATAACTTGGTTAAGAGGACCAAGGTTACACTTAGGACTATTCACTCGTCCTAGCATCAGGAAGTCGCCCTTTTATCTCTGTTACTGTGTTTTAAGTGTAGGAAGTGTTTTGTCTTCTGTAATTTCTCCAAACCTTTGGCAGATAATGATCTTGCGCATTCTATAGACAAATGCTTCTGTGTATCTCTGCCAGTCTTTATATTTCTTCTTGTCTGTGTAGATGCACATGTGTCTCTCCAACCTCTCAGTCTCTGTTTTCTGTTAACTTTTTACATGGTTTCATTTCCTTGTGCAGTAATAATCAGTTTGGGTTTTATTTGCTTAGGGAGGTTGACAGGGTTTCTTCTTGTGTTCTTAGGATTTTATATAATAGATCTTAATTTTTTGTGTGTGTCCTTAATTCCTATGAGGAGGTGGTAGTTCCCAATGTAGTCTTGTTTTGGACAAAGCTGATCACTGTATCTTATCTCGGAACCTGTAGCTTGAGTGTCTGGCTGGGGGCATCGTTGTTGAATTCTGGGCTTGCATTCCACTGCATCTGGCAGAAATTAAAAAGGAAGAACACACAAGTCTATCCGTTGTGTGGAGCCAAGCCTGTTCTACTCTCTCAAACTCTGCATGAGTGCCTTTTTGTGCACTTCAGAATCCAGGATTACAACAAGGCAGGATGCACTGATTTGCAGTTCTTAAACGGGAGACTGGAATCTGCATTGTAAGGTCGGGTTGTATGGATACCAGCAATTATGGCTTATCCTGAATTATAGATCCTGTTTTCAGTCTATAAATTCAGAGAGCTGTAGCTGTCAATATTCATGGGGTTTCTCCCAAATTACACTCAGGAAAATAAATACAAATTAAACAGAACTCCGACTTAGACTGGCAAGACCAACCAAAAAAGAGGATGATATGGAAGATTCCCTTTATAGCTGAGTACCAAGGGTGCCTAGTGTGTGTATGTGTGAGTCAGCACAGACAGGGTACAGGAACAACCACAAAACCATGTCTGAAATGCAAAGAGTAAATTTATTTTCATTACCTCACCAACCAGGGGATCCCTGAAGCAGCACCCGGGCAGAGGCACACAAGCGAGGAGGCAGACATGATGGAGCTTGGGCCTTGCTAGAGGGTCGCCAAATCTGCTGTTTGTGCTTGTATTTCAGGGATTCCTGCAGGTGTGGTTTACCACTATGCTTTGATCTTTCCCACAGCATGGCAGGAAACTCAAGCATGTTCGATAGGGTGTCTCTAAGTCTATCACAGGCCTATGTTGTCTGAATGCAGATGTTCTACTTGTCAAACACACAAGGATAGACCACAATTGGAATGATGTATGTATTTTTCTACACCCCAGCGGAAGTTACTTGAGTGTGTTACTTGCCGGTCTTCTGTTATTTTCCCACAGTGTGTTTTCCTGTGTCCTGCCCACAGGCTAGGCGGGCAAGCATGGGCAAATATGGAGAATTGCTGTGTGTATGAGGCTCAGCAATTGCTTATACTATCTTGCCATTTCAGGGATCATCCATGTATCAAGTGGACTGGTGGCAGCTGCAGGCGGATCCCTGTCTTGGTGTTTCATGCTGAAGCCATTCTGACCAACGACAGCTACCTCCGCCTAATTGGAGGTGGGTGCAACTATGTGCCAGTTTTGGCCTGAAGGCATGAGTCTCTTACCTTGATTTTCCCTCTCTTTGTGGTGTGGAAGAGGACATGACAGGAAGGAAACTACAATCCTCTCTTGTCTCTGAGCACTGAAGTGTTCAGAAATGCTTGATCAGTTGGTGAATGTTTATCACGTCTTTGGGTTGTGACAAGCGTCTATATCCCTCCATTGGGTGCTGATGTGTTTTGAGTAGGAGCTCTCTGCTTGCAAATTGAATTTGGGGGCCATGTTATAACTTAGAACCAGAGTATAAATTCATTACTCTGTAGCTAAGCAGTTAAAATCAATCATTGCAGTGAGTTTTGAGAGGGTTTCACTAGGAAATAAAGCAGCCAGTGCCACAGTGGTTAGAAAGTAGTAAGCTGTAGTAACAGATCTCTGTGTCTACAGCCTCACAACTGTGAGTAAGTCCACTTGAGTTGGGAGACCAAACCTGTTTAGTGTCAAATAAGGGAGAGCCTCTAAATATGAGGCAAAGTTGTTATAAACAGTCACTCTGGATTGTGAGAGTTAGCATTTGCAGGTGTGTACAGCTGGGAGCTCGTTCTGGATGTGCTGAGTTGGAGAAAAAATAAAATCTACTCAGCTTCTTTTTGTGAAGATGCTGACACTTCTTTCTTTTCTTGCTTCTCCCTTTCTTAGGTAATTGGTGCCCTCATTTCTAATATCCTATCCAAGCAGAAATGCTTCTGGCTCATTGGGGTAAGGGGTGGAGAAGGTGATTTGTGTGTGGAAACTCCTGATCCTTTTCATGTGAGTTAAAACCATACTTGAATGGTGGCAGAAGCTGATGGTAATTGTAACTTGTATCCCAACTGGAGTGTGGTCTCTTCTGCTTTTTCTCAGGAGGTGGAGGCTTTTCATTGTTTACAAGTTTACTGCTGAATAGTGCAACTTGTTAAATTTCCTTGAGTTTTGTCCAGTCCCAGATTATGATACTTCTTACTCTTTTCTTTACACTTATTTTTATTGGTAGAGCGTATTTCCTGAGGCTTAATCTTCATCTTTCTGTTCTCAGTTTGAACCAACTTGTAAAGTGCCTTTTCCAAGTGATTCTGTATACTAGCATTGCAATTTCTGCTGCTACTTTCTTTGAACTCTTTTATGCCACATCCTTTCATATGACAACTGGCCTCTAATATTGCTACTTGGTTTCTGTTTATCTTACACCTCCAGTGCTGCTTACTGATTTTGTTTTTATGACTTTCTACTTGGATAGTGATTTTTCTCTTTTTCTTCCTTGTCCTATTTACTTTATTTCCTACTATTTTTTGCAGTTATTTATTGGAAGATTAGTATGGGTGAAAGAGATATGAACAAAAATTCAGTGTTTTATTTTGGATTTTCAAGATCTAAAAAGTGATCCTATAAGCTAGCCACGTCAATGAGGGGCATATGGCATGATTACTTTTAGCTAGGAATACTAATCTTGAATAGAGAAGAGCTGAAATCATGTTAGGAATGTTATAAAGCAGTCTATATAAAGAGCTGTTCGAAAGAAAAATAAATCGGGGCATTTCTTAGGATGTCCTGTGGTTTATTTTAATACAATAGGGTTCAGTGATGCAACGATATTGATTTAAGTCAGTTCAATGCCATTACCAGAGTTATCGCCCCAAGAGATGGACAGGCATTTCCTATCACCCTTTGCCTGTTATGAGCTGCTACTGTGTGGATCCTCCACTGTGGATTAAGTGCAGCTGTATTGTGCTGAGTCCTATGGTGCTCTTCTCTCTTCTTTGGTAGCATAGGTAACTTTGGTTTATTCTTCTAAGTGCAGACTCTAATATGTCTCTTGCCCTCTTAACAGAGCGCTACCACTTGTCCTATAAGATTGTGCGAACAGACAGCCGCCTGGTTCGAAGCATTCTGACTGCCCATGGGTTCCATGAGGTGTGTGCAACGATCTGGTTATGTGCTGGGCTAGGAAGTGGTGATGATGATGATTATTGTGGTTTTGGGTTTTTTGGGATTTTGTTTTGTGGGGGTTTTTTGTGTGTGTGTGTGTTTTTTGTTTTTTTTTTTTTTTTACTCTGCAGGGTTAGAACCAGGAAGTTGCTGTGGACCCCCTTGAATGTTTTTTCCACATACTCTGCCAGTCAGACAGGAAGTATGTCATTATTTTGTTCTCTCAAAGGAGTACCCTTTAGCCTTATGCCTGCAAGATTAGGGAAAAAGGGATGACAAGGTTGGGTGATGTGTTTTTTCTCTTCTTGCTTTTAAAGTGTCATCTCATACCCTTGGGAAGATCTGAAGGATTTACTGTCTCAGTCTTTGCAAACTCACAGAAGAATTGATGTGTAGAGTTTCGTGTTTCTCTTCTAGCACCTATCTTGCTCTAAAGACTGTCCTATATGCAGCTAATGATGGTTTAAGAGATATGTGTGTGTATGGTGGATTTTCTTTTGAATAACATCAGGTTAAGGAATTGGTCTCACAAGTTTCCTGAAGAAATCTAAAACACTTTACAAATTGGGTTTAAACAGTCTATAAAAAGAACAAAATCACAGGTTTGTTTAGAAAAATACAACGTAGTTATTTCCCAGCACCACTGTACAATAGCTTATGACAGAAGTCTGGCTAGAGTTTCCCTGATACTAGAGATGGGTAGAGGATATTGTCTTAAACTAGAATTGCTTTGGTCTTGCAGATGTAAGGTTACAGTCTCTAGGACAAGTGGTGATACTTTTTATTAGTTCTGTGTTTTTATGTGTGTGGTATTTTTAATATTGCTTTTTAGGTACACCCTAATAGCAGCGATTATAATCTCATGTGGACAGGATCACACTTGAAGCCCTACTTGCTGCGTTCCCTTACAGATATTCAGAAAGTCAATCATTTCCCTAGGTAAGGCCTTGATATCATGTTTTGCTGAACATCTTTGTGATGGATTGCAAAAATCTGAACAGAGATAGCTCTAAAAAAATACACTATACATGGTACTCTAAAGTCCCAATGCATTGGGCCTGTGCCACATGCTGTCTTCATTCTAAACTGTCTTTGGGGTTTTGGGGGCATAGTGTGTGAGTTGAAGTGCTTGTCTGTAGCCCAAATACTGAATTTAAAATTTTTTTTTTCTTTATTTGATGGTATAAGTAAAATATTTTGGGCTTTGGACTCTTAGTTACAGAAAGTCATATGTCATCTGCTAAAGTTTACAAACACCGTTACAACAGTTTGCTGTGCTTCAGTCTGTCTTGGGAATTGCAAGAGGTGCTACAAATGAGGATGGATATGCATATCCATATGCAGCCATAGGACAGAGACAGTAAAACTAAAGAGTAGTTGCACATTAGGGTTTAGACATCTGACAGGGCTACAGATGCTTTATTAACTAGGATGAAGTGTTGCTGTAGTGTGAGGTTTTTTATGTGGGGAAAAAATAGATACAGTCTCTTCTTTTTGTCAGGTCGTATGAACTGACACGAAAGGACAGATTATACAAGAATGTCAGTCGTATGCAGCTGTCCCATGGATTCAAGACATTCCATATCTTACCTCAGACATTTATCCTCCCAACAGAGTACCAGGACTTCTGCAGTAAGTGAATGGCTAATCGTGCCCAGACCTAAAGCAAAATAACCGGGTGGGGGAAAGGAATGACTTTTAATATCCCAGCCTGTTGATCATGCCAGTGGTTAAGGCAACAAAATTAAAGGAAGCTTGAAAGACAGTGGAAAAGGCCCACATGATTTCTTTATATAATTTCTACTCTGCTGTTACTCTGTGCCTGCGTAAGTCCTCAAGTAGCTGATGGGGGCTTAAGGCTCCGGAATTGAGCTTTTTTTTGTGCGCAGTGTTGTTGATGATCAACTTCACAATATCCCTGACTAATACCTAGGAGTACTGAAGAGAAATGCTAAAAGGAGGCATAGGGCAGAGAAATGAATCTGTCTGAGCAGCAGGAGTGGCTTCAGGGAGGGGACATAATAATTACAGTGAGACCCAAGGGCTAAAATAGGACATAAAAAAAGTGGACTTTGGTATCCTCATGGAGTTCTCTAGAGCTTTTACTGTAGGCAACATTCTTGATTCTTGCTCATCTGTAAATAAGCAAAATGGAAGATGTTTTAGACTTCTGCTATTTTCTTTTAACCAGATACCTATTCTAAGGACAGAGGCCCATGGATAGTGAAGCCCGTGGCCTCTTCCAGGGGTCGAGGTGTCTACCTGATAAATGATGTAAGTGTTCAGCAAAAGGACTGCTCTTCAGTAACACTGTCTGCAAAACTGTGCCAGCTTCCAGGCAAGGGGCATGGAAACATCTAACCAGACATTGGCCCTGCTCTGGATTTCAACCATACATTGGTGAGCAGTTAACAGTCCTGAGCAGCTGGCAAAGCCTGCCTGGGCCTATGCTGCATAACCAAAAGCAATCTATTTCTCTGTATGCTCTGCTTATTTTGCAACCTGCTTTCAGTCTTAGTTTATTAGGAGCAAGCAAGTTCATGCTCCGAGGGACAGTTTGGGAAACTGTGCTGCTTCATGCTGTCCTTGTGGCTGACAGTAGGCTGGCCTTGGGAAGATTCCCAGAACTCTCTTTAGTTGTTTCCCTGTGTGACCTGAACAGTCCTCCAACAGTCCCCTTGTCTCCCTCTTTCCCCTGGAAAATACCAGTTAAAATGAAACCTTATGTGATACAGTAGGATGTGTATCAATCAACTGTGTTATCTAAATACCAGCATACCTCTACTGAGGCGTAATGGGGATGGTTCTTTGAATTCAATGTGCTGGTTATAGTGTCTCTTGCCCCTTTTGGGCTTTGCAGGGAATTAGGTTGTCACAGGTAACAAATACATCTGGGCAGGAGCCAAACACATGAGGGGATTCCAATAAATATTCTCAGCAGCAAAACTGACTGGTGAGTCATTTTATTTTCACTCACTCGAACCCCTCTAGCCTCCCCTGCACTGAACGGGTCATGCTGCCTCATCTGTTCTCTAGTTGGATCATTTCCCGTAAAATAAGGGAGCAATTCGCCAAGTGTATGAAGTAAGTATTTCCAGAGTTGCACTCAGCTTTTTCTGTGCTTGAACGAGTGAAACGAGCTCAGGCTTATATGGCAGTTGGCCATGAACTGGGGAAAAGACCCTTCTGGGACCAGTCTCCCTTTGTGTATATCTGTTCCAGAAATGCTTCAGCTAGTTTGGCCCAAAGACTTCAGTTTTCTCCAGTGTGATGCCATTAAGGGAGTGTCTTCTAGAATCTCATCACAAAAGTGTTTAAACCAACAACAACCCCCACCCCCGCCCCCCAACAAAACAACAAACCTTTGAATTTCTCTGATCCAAAATAAAACAGGCTGTCACTTTTGTGTGATGTGCTAAGGGAAGTTGAACTTGTTCCCTCATGTTGTATATGTGCACTCTGTACGCCTAGGCTTCCTGCCCATGACTTTGCAATGTATATTTGTCATAGAGCTTTCTGTTCTGAGCTATGAGGGTAGTGTCTTGCTGTACAGTAGCCCCTGTTGTGAGCTGAACCTCAGTAGAAGGTATTTACTCATGTAGACAAATACCTGGATACCAGCCCAGAATCTAGCTATAAAGATCACAAGTTGAGGAGTCATTTTCTTCACTTGTGACTTCCTCACCAACTGTAGTTATATATTCCTTCTAATGTCTTCTAAACACCTCCTCCCCATGTTTGGTTAAACAGTTGAGAAGCAAACAGAATGACAGTCACTCCTGAGATGTGGTTTTTTTTTCCTGCCTATTGTGGCTGTTAAATTTGTATCCTACTCTAAGGAGCACTTAACTGGAAGATTCAATGGGCAGCTTTTTTTGACAATGTAATTGTTCCCAGCCTTCTGGTTAGGATCTAATTACCTTAAGTATGTTGTGACTGACAGTGGTGGTGTTGGTACAGAGTAGCTTTAGGAGGGGAAGGCGGGAAAAAATGGTGGGTTTGGTCTACTCATCTTCTCATTCCTTAAGCTTCCTGTTTTTTCACTCTTGGATTCTCTGTTCTCCTGTAGCCAAACCAGATTGTCCTGGAAGACAACATCCTGGTTTCTCGTTACATCAGCAACCCCCTGCTCATAGATGGTGAGTGTGCTTAGGACTTGCCTTTGTCTCTTCCCCCAACCCCACACCTGAGGATCTCTGCAACCTTCGCAGGAATTTAGTTAAATAATTGAGTGGTCTATCTTCCTCTAGTACTGGAAAAATGTAACTAGAGAATTCCTTAAAATCTAGAAGCTTTTCAACTGGGAAAAGCTTCAGGCACCTATATCAGCAGCAGATAATTGTTTATAACTGTCAGGGTCTGTTGAAATTCCTCAACTGGATATGATGTCTGAAAGGTATTTGCAGTCACTGACTCTTGACAACTGTATTTCAGACTTCAAATTCGATGTGCGCCTCTATGTTCTGGTTACGTCCTATGATCCACTTGTCATCTATCTCTACGAGGAAGGATTGGCCAGGTAGGGGAGATTTCTTCTTTCTCAGTGTACCTGCACTTTGTGGTGCAGAGATGTCTTGACTTGCCTCTGTACTCTTGACACGAGCAAATGAGGGAAGTGCCAGTTAGGGAATGCTGCAGAGTTTAAAAATATGATACTTCATCGTGCTGTGTCCCATCAGTTTTCTTTATACAGATTATAGGATCTTTAGTGAGGGAATTTATTATATATGTAACAAATAAAGCGAGTTTTCAACTCTTAAGGGTTGAATGGCCACACACACCATCAATGGCTTGTTCATTCTCAAGGTCAGGTTCTTCTTGAAACCTCTTCAGACTCTTGGTGCCTTCGTGCCCCTTCTCCATGTTCCAAGGTGAAGGGGCATCTAAACTTTCTCAATATCTGTTTAATTCTAAAGACAAAAGCAGTTGGAGACCTGTTGTTGGCTGTATTGGCCTTTGTTTTAATACTTTCAACTGCTCTTCTAAATTTTAGGTTGGTATTTGTATTTTCTACAGTGTTGAGTAAGTGGGTTTAGACTAGTCCACTGTTCTTAACCTGCAAGATGTCAATTTTCTCTTGCATGTAAGTCATGAAAGATACTTAAGATTCCCGGGAGGAACACTTACCTACCAAAAATACCTGTTTCTCTTTATCACAGAAGTTTAACTAAGTACCTGTGTATAGTAACTAATAAATTTGAAATAATCACCCCTCTGAATTTCCAACAGACCAGAAACTTAAGTGTAATGATATTTGAGAAGACAGCATCATAGAACTGTCCTTTGCAACAGTTTCAAGCAATGCTGAATCTGTCTTATCACATCTGACATACACAGAAAGAATATCTCTAGGGTTCAAGCCTGTATGGCTCTGATGTAATCAGATACTGAATCCAACTTACCTTTATCCAAAGCAGGTAGTGAGTCCAAAAGTATATATTAATAATGATCCCATGAGAAATACCCTCCTTTAAATTGATGAGCAGGTCTCCTTCAGCTGCGTTGTATGTGCCTCTGCCTGCAAAGGTAATGTGAACAGGTTGTTTCCCTAAAAGGGGGGCAGGAAGGGGTAGCTCATCTTGGTCAGGAAAACTTGACAACTATATTCACTTCAGATAAGGAGCCCTAAACATGCCTAACATTGCAAGACTTTTCTCTTGGGAATCAGCAATTAAATTGTTCATTGCTAATATTGCATGTTATTGGAAAGTGGAGGGAAACAAGATCATTGATTATGAATATATGAGTAGATTGCTAGCTTGTTCTGAAAACGGATGGTGCATAGCAGGCCTACCAAATAGAATTTGCACCATCATTAATGTCTTAAAGGTAGTTCTGCTGATCTTGTAACAAAGGAGTTTACTTCTGGAAAAACCCATCTATGTAAGAGACAAGTGTTCTTCTCTGTTTGGGGACAAGTGTGCCAGTTCTGTGATAGATAACATTTTTGCTTCTGAGAGCAGAGTAACATGTTTTACTTGGGGGGCAAGTGTATGTGGGGATGTGTATGCTTTTTTTTTTATTTTTAACAATTCTAGTCATACTACAGGTCTAGGGAAGGAAATGAGGAAGGAAACAAGTATATTCTTTTGACTGAAATACACTGGTTGGACAGTTCTAGTGAATCCCTTAAGATAGAATCATCAAATTGTTTAGGTGGAAAGGGAAGTCTGGAGTTTTTTAGTCCAATCTCCTTCTCAAGACAAGACCTTCTTCAAAGTTTGGGCAGATGCTCTACAGCCTTATACCATAAAGTTTTGAATATCTTCCAAGAATGGAGATTCCTTAGTTTTTCCTGACAACCTGTTCCAGCATTTGACCATTCTCACTGTGAATGTGTGTGTGTGTTTTTTAATACCTAATCAGAATTTCCCTTGTTGCAGTTTGACTGTTGTCTCTTGTCTTTCTGCTGTGTACCTTTGAGAAGTCTGGCTCTGTCATTATAGCCATGCATTAAGGAGTTGAACATAGCAGATAGATCTAGTCTTAGGCTTCTCATCTGCAGGCTAAATAATCCTTTTCCCCTCAGCTTTTCCTTCTCCTCCTACATAATATTTTCAGCTCATTTTAATAGCTCTCTGCCAGACTTGCACCACTTAGTCAATACTTCTACTTGTACTGGGGGCCTCATAACTGGACATGATGTTGCAGATGTGTGTCCAGTGCTTGCTGAGCACTCACAAGTAAGAGGTACTAATCACTTCCCTTGACCTACTGGCTACACTCTTGTTAATACAGCCCAGTTAATTAGAAGACTAACATTAGTTAGCCTTCATTGTTGCAAAGGCAAACTGTGAATTCATGTTCAGCTTGTTGTCTACCAGGACTGCTTGTGTGTTCTGCAGAGCTGCTTTATATCCACCTAGCCTGTACTGTTGAACAGAGTTATTCCTTCCAGGTGCAAAACTTTTGCATTTGCTTTAGCAAAAGTTCATGATGATTCTATTAGCCCATTCCTCTAGCTTTTCAGAGGGTATTTGACAGCTCAGGTCTTGAGCCATGCCAGCCACTGCTCTCCCTTTGTCCCCAGAACCATTCGTTTCATCCTAGAAAGCAATCAAGAGGCATCAGACATGATTTGCTCTCAAAAAACTTGTGCTTGCTGTTCCCTTATAATTGTTTTATCCTTCATGTCCCTGGAAATACCTTCCTGGAAGATAATTGTCCATGAGCTCCTGCTGGTAGCAAGACTGTAGATCACCTGGGCTATCCTAGGTAAAAGGTCTCTTGAAACAATGATCTGATTTACTTGAGTTTGTGAGACAGTGTCCCTACTTGATAACCTGGATGCTGGCTGGCTGAGTTACTTTGCTCTTTTGACATTCAGAATATTCGCCTCTAGAGCTTGAAACAGTGTTGTAGTCAACCCTGAGCAAGTAACTTGAAGTTTTCTTTCTGGGTATCCATCCAGAAGCATCAGTTTCAACAATTCTGGACTTTCCATCTTGGTAGGATCCCATGTGGCAGTAATACTTGCAAATCACTTCTCAGTGTTCTAAAATCCTTAACAGTCTTAGCCATGTTTAGATTCCATTTGTTTAAACTCTAGTAAAATCTAGAGCACATGGTGTCCACATACATGACAAGTAGAACATGTATGTACAGGACACCACAGTATTGCTAATGGTAGTTATCCTTTCCTTCAAATTGTATCCCATCTTACAGCTCTCTGTGAGAGGTAGGTAGCATGTGGAGACTAACTGTGGCACTAGGTATCTTAATGCTGCCCTGTGATACCATCAGCTGTACCAGTACAACTTTGGGACTGGTGTAGAGGGAATAATGAGATGTTATCTCTGGTCTAAGGACGGTCCTGACTCTGGAGGGTAACTAGTTCTGTTATTGAACTTCAACTGCCCACTGAGCAATTTCAGCTGTAGTGTCAGCCATGGCTAAAGGCTTGTAGCAAGTCTTGTAGCTGAATGTTTTCACGTGATAGGTATAAATTTATTGCAACCAATATCTTTAATTACTCTTAAACTTTCCTCTTTTATGGCTGTAGAGTTAGTATGTTTGTGCAGAAAGTGCTGGCAAGCTCTCTTTGGCGTACAATACTCAGGCATGAGCAGAGGTTGACAGAAAACTTTAGGTGGGCTGTTCTGTATGGCCTCCAGATGGCACTAGCAGGCTTTAGCTTTAACGATTTGGATTTTTCCCATACGCCGGATTTGCAAATTCAGTTGGCGAGAGGTAAGGAACCTGGAGCTACTGGATTCTGGCTTCCTACTTAGCTTTTGCCTTCCATTTAACAGTGTGAGATAAGTGCTAGGAGACACCCTTTTACTGGCTCACACAGTGTAATGCTGCTTTGGTTTAAAGCTGAGACAAAACTTCAGCTGTGTGTGGAAGGGGGGAATGTTTTAACCTTTGGGAGGGGAAGCAGTTTTTTATTCTTAAGAAAAAAAACCCCACACTGCTTAAGACTGGAAGCAATTTGTAGCAGAGAACTGGGAGGTAAGATCAGGACCTGGAGTCAAAGGTGGTATTGAAGCAATCTAAGGGGAAACCCACCAGCGGAGCAAAGGAATCTGTTTTTAGGACCTCTGCTAGTGCCTGTAGTGCACTATAGTGACTTCCATGTTTTGTGTTTCCTCTCTGAAGCTAGATAGTCTTTGAAGTATGGTCAGAGTGGCCTCTTCTGGGTTGTTCTCTTAATTTTCTTTTTCCCTTTTTCTTAGTCTGTCTGAAAGGTAATGTTCCCTTCCAGTGTTATACTTTGCATATTCCAAGTAGAAGAGGAACCTGACTGTTTCAGTAAAGTTGATGACCTCTGCCAGGCATGGAGTGCTATCAGGAAACCATAAGTAATGTTTTTTAAAAGAAACAGACTTGGTATAATATACATTTGTGATGTTTGACTAAATACTTTCTTAGGCCTGGTTTTTCTTGGCATAGCTAGACTAGTCATGACATGATCTAGAGTGGAATTTGAGGCTTCAGTGCTGAAGAGGAGAAAGGGATTATGGATCCAAGCATGTGTTGTAACTTGTGTTTCATTTTCCATGTGGAAGAGTGAAGAAAAAGTTTCCTTTGAAGGAGATGTGAAGAGTATGTACCCAGAGGTGTGTAACAAAACCTTCAGCTATTGTTGCTCGATTTGTGCTGGAAGTACTGAGTACCAGTTTGATTTGCCCTGGATGAAGTTCTCTTTTTTTTCATGCATCTTTCAGGAAGATATTGACCTCAAAGCTGCTTTTTTGGTTTGTCTTCTAAAAGAATATTGAATAGAACCTAGGAAGTACTGATGTTCAGTAGGTTCCTTTTGTAGCTATTTGCACCCCACTCCCTGTGGAATAAGCTGTATTTAGTGGGGGCAGAGCCGTAGGGACAGAGCCTGTGGTCAGCAGAGTCAGGTATCAGACTTCTGGAGAGTTACTATGAACAGTATCAGTGAATGTGCTCTATGTTTTCATCTTTTGTTACAATACTACTTTTCTGGTCTTGCCTCCCTCAAACTTATCAAACCTCCTCTTGCATGTTTTGGGCTTGGTCCACCTCTAGAAGGAATGCTGCTAATCA